GGACTATGCGTAGATTGCAGCAGTCACTTATTCGGGGAGACTGCAGAATAGCCATTGTTGAGATCAGGTGTTGCAAGCTGCAGGACCGGCTTGCTGTCCCGAATTGTGTTTGAAGCTGGCAAAATGGCAGTGCCTTTTTGAGTATGACTTAACCCCATGGGCTGCCGCAGATCGGCATCTCCAAACAAAAAGACCCCTTGACCCAACATCCCGAAACCCGACCCTACTGATGGTTGTTGCAACGAATGAATACATGGATCCCCGCAGTACTGCCCAAAATCCCTCTTCCCAATGAGTCCCTGCAACCTTTCCTATTATCACCAGTAACGTGCAAGCCTGAACAAGTGTGTTCCCGAACAATCCTGATATAACCCTGGTATCCCCCTTAAGAACCCCTATCATCGTCCCCCATATAATCTCCTAGATAACCCACTTTACAATAATGAGCTGGGACTGCAGCTCATATACCCATGACTAGTATAGTATACAGCAAGGCCCTCTTCCATGTATCTAAAATTTAGGCCCCTACGACACTCTGAATTTGCCAGGGGACCATAACGCAGATCTAGCCGCTAATTGAGGGGTCCCATAACAACAATTAAGAGTTATACAGCAATATTCAGTACACCCCCCCCCTTGTACTTGAACGGAAACAAAATTTCCGCATAAATTTCCAAACACCCAACCCCAAACCCCAAATCCTTAACCCTCGCCCCTAAATCCTAAACCCTGAACCCTAAATCCTAAATCCTAAATCCTGAACCCTAGATCCTAACTCCTAAGCCCTAAATCCTAATCCTAAACCCTAAACTGCCCTAAACCCTAAACCCAAGGTCACCATGCAAGATGCTATCATCAACGCCTGGGCTGGGGGCGGGTATCGAAGCCAGGTGCCATGTGAGACCTGGAGCATCATGACCTGAAAGTTGAAGTAGAAAAATCGGGTTTAGGGGTTTTAGGGTTTAGGGGTTAGGGGGGTTTAGGGGTTCAGGCATTGGAATCCTTGCATGAGCCATTGCCCAAAATGTTAGTATCCCCCGTTAAAGCCCCTATAAGTAGTTTCCTGTATAATCCCTGATATAACCTCGTTTAAGGAGTTTAACTCCTGAACCTAAACCCTAAACCATACATTATATAATCCCCTGTATAGCTCCCTAAACCCTAAACTCTGAACCTCAAACCCTAAACCCTTAATTTAAGCAGTTCAGACTATGGCTCACATAGCCCTGGGGTTTATGTGGCTCCTATGGGACAACCAGACCATGTGTGGGCCAAGCTTTTGGACAGTTTCAGTTTGGAAGCCAGCATTGAGCGTTGGGCGCGTTGACTTTCGGACCTTTTTGGGGCTGCAGATTTAGGTTTGCGTTTTGTTTTTATGGGACCTTTTCCCCGCGGGATGATAGAGTTTAGGGTTTTAAGTTGAACGTGTGGTTTAACGTATGGGATATAGGAGATTGGGTTTTCAAGCTACCGACGCCTGAGGGCCCCGAGCGCAGAAACCCCTGGGCACCTAGGCCCTACAACCGAACATACCTACCTGAACCCCAAAAGTATGTAGAATAATGGCCTTTTGGGCTATATTAATGGGTTTTGGGCTATTATTTTACCTACATTTGAGGTTCAGGTAAGCCCTCAGCCCTGACCCCACGCGCCTGCCTTGCTGGCTGTTAGTGGGGATTGGGGGTGGCATCCAAAAATACTGGACATGTTGGTCATCTCAGAGCCAGGAATTCTGCTACTTTGGCACTATTCTCTATATGGCCCACTTCTCCAGCAGTTAACGTAAACCTCCCCAAGCATATAATTCCCGTGTTCTTTTGCATTCCTTCCTTCCCTACACCCTACACCCTCAACCTACACCTAAACTAGCTCCCATGTTCCTTTTCATTCCTTTCTTCCCTGCAAGCCCTGTAGCCTTAATCCCCCTGAGCTTCTAAAAGTTTAGGGTTTAGGGTTTCCCTGAACCCCAAAACACCTCAATGATTGGGTTTAGGGCTCAGGGCCCTAAATCTCGCAAGTAGATCCCCTCCCCCTACTTAAGAAACCCACCCTTATGATCAACATTCCCCCCCATTACAGTTGGGAGGGTATGTACAATTACCCTAAACCCTAAACGTTTGGGAGGGTATTCATTGTCAAGAAGACTGGGCAGTTTAGCATCGGCCCCAGTATTAGGGGTTTAGGTGTTTAGGGTTTATGGTTTATAGGGTCTTAGGGTCTTAGGGTTTTAGGGCTTCAGGGCTTAGGGTTTGAGAGTTTAGGGTTAGGTGTAATTTCCATTGCCTTTCCCATTCCGCTAGAAAGCCCCGATACGATCCAATCATTAGTGGAAAGCTTAGGGTTGAGGGTTTAGGGTTTAGAGGGTTTAGGGTTGCCGGCCAGCAGCCGAACCCCAAGTCCTACACCCGCAGGCTTAAACCCTAAATCCTATAAACCTTAAACCCTAAATCTTAAAAACCCAAAAAGCCTAAACCTAAAGCCTAAACCCCAACAAGGAGCAAGTTGCGCCCTAAACCCTCAACCCTAAATCCTAAACCCTGAACATGTCTGAACCCTAAAATCTAAACCCTAAACTCTTATAGTCACCCTTAAGTAGATAGAATTTGGCTTTGGGTATATTATTATAAGATCCCCATATATCCCATATTCTATCTACTTCAGGGGGACTATAACCCTTTGCAGGCTGGAAGCTGTCAGGGCTCTCCCATGTCACGGCGGTCTTTAGCCATGGCTCTGCTGGCAAGCCCAGGGCAAGGGGTGGGTTGGTCTAGGGCTTATAGAGGATATAAGGGGCTAGGGATATTATAGATATGTTCTAGGGATGTTCTAGGGATATTCTAGGGCTTATAGAGGATATATGAAGACAATAGCGGGACTATGTAAGGGGATTTTGAAGGGGGAATGTAGGGATTAGATAGGGATGATTCAGTAAGGCTCAATAATGGAGAATCAAATGGACAATGAAACGGGCACTGGGATTATGCGGGGCATTCGGGGTGCTGGAACCTTATGATAGTTCATGAGACCTTCTGAGTAGAAGACTTATGCCATTCGTATGATTCGGGATTAGTTGGTGCAGTCGTCCAGACTATCACTGTCCCTGCCATCGCTGATGTTTCGCGCTTGTGCTGCGATGTTCCGTGCTAGTCATGCTGAGGCCCTGGCAAAGGCTGCCAAATTCTGGATGTTGACCGCTTCTATACCGTAAATCCCACACGTTTGCAACCCCGACCAAAAGCTCAGGGCTTCAGAGGAAGCAGCGTGTTGCAACAAGCCACCACATGTCTCGGTTGGCCCCTAAAACCCATTGAAAAATGTAACATGTAGGGTCCCCTATTAAAGCCTTTAGTGAAAATGTTCAACATCCCAGGGGCCTACCCAGATGTTCCGGTTTATTGAATTTGGGCTTCAAGGTTAGAACAGGCATAGCCCAAGCTACTATGAACCCTGAACACATACACATAAACCTAAACCCATATACATACAAATACCTTTCGATGCGTCATCCTTATGTGGGACCGCTGCTATCCCCCGATCATCCATACATATCCCCCCATGCTTGAGAATCCTTGCCCCTAATCGCCAGGGTTGAGGGTTCAGGGTTTGGAACACTGCATTTCCCGAAGCCCTTACCAAACCCTAGTCCCTAACCCGTAGCCCCAAATCCTTGCATATCCATGTTGGGCGGGACCTAGAAAGTAGGTGAACTTATGGCTCAAAACCTACAACAAGAGCTAAAAACGGTGGCTAGCAGTGAACATACTTTTGAGGTCCAGGTAGTTAGGATTCTATAGAGCAAGTCCCTCGAACCTAAGGTAAACACTTTAATGACACTTTAAAGGGGTTGTGGTGTGTGTGTAGATATATAGGGCTGTATAGGGATGTACAGGGATACTGTCGATACTATAAACCCGTGACCTGCGTACACAGAGCACCACGATTTCCAAAGGTACAAGGTACTTAGTCACGCGGGGTTTGCAGCATCACTTTAAACCCTAGACCCTGAGCCCTGAATCCTAAACGTGGGGCTGTAGACCTTGGTGCGGGAGCGGTCCACAGCATCAGGGGTGAGAACTACTTTTACATCCGAAAATATGGGCATTCCCAAAAACAGGGGGCATATGGAGCTTAATTAACAAGGCCTGATCGGTTCCAAATTTGGGGGGGTACATCTGGGGTGGGGGGGGTACATGTCTAACTCTTCAAACCCTAAGCCCTAAACCCCTAAACCCTAAACCCAACATGAGTAACAAGAGGATTTTGGCGACCCACGACCAAAGCCAGGGGCCCCATAACCATCGCATGGGCATAATGCCACTAGAATTACCCCAAACCCCATATAACCCTGAATAAGCCTATATAATCCTACAAAGCCCCTATATAACCTATGGTGACCATAATGGGGTCCGAAACTTGAAGGTCTGGGTTGGGTTGGGGATACCAAAATCTTCTTCTTCATCACGTGTCCCCACTTCTGCCCATCTCAAGAGGAGAGCTCTTTATGTGGTTTAGGGTGTGGGGTTAGGGTACGTACCACGTTAGCCAGTTGAGGGATAAACCTAAGCCCCTAAAATCCTACATCCGCAATCCTCAACCCTAAACCTCCAAACCATCAGCCCTCAGCCCTAAATCCTAAACGCTAAAACCCTAGGCCCTCATTCCCAAATCCTTAATCCTAAACCCCTGAACACTGCAGTCCTTGACCCGTAATCCTAAACTCTAAAAACCTAACTCCAAAAACTCTCAAAACCAGCTTGCCGGACTTCCCCCTAAGTCCTCCATTCCCTAAACTCTAAACCCTAAACCCTCCATTCCCAAACCCTAAACCCTCAATTTCCCTAAACCCTAAACCCCCCATTCCCTGAACCCTCCATTCCCTAAACCTTAAACCCCAAAGTAGGTAAAATAATAGCCCAAAACCCATTAATATGGCCAAAGGCAATTATTCTACATACTGTTGGGGTTCAGGTAGACCTTAAACCCTACAAAGGACCCCCGGCCGCTGTTGGCCAGAAGACCGCTGGTCGACCTCCTGTTTAGGATTTAGGGTTTAGGGCCTCGAACCTTTCAGAACAAACCGGGGCTGAGCTTGAGGGCTTCTAGGGTATGGGGTAAGTAGGGTTTAGGGCTTCCAAGGGTGGTTGTTAGGGGACATATGGGCGTATGCAGGGTTACCTAGGCAGGAACAGAATTGATTCGTTGCAGTAGGGATTAAGGTTCCTTCTCGGGAGCTCCTAATTTTGGGGTTCACAAAGGGGCACGCCAATCTTGGCAGTCATGGAGGAACCAGAATGATATCCTTCTTCAAACACATACGTGTTGCCGGCGCATCCATACCTGCACCAGAATAAGGTCCATCTCTTAATTCATCCGTGTTGCAGCGCATCCATGCTCAAAAAATGAATCTTTGAGCGGACATCTGCGCAGAAATCCCAATAATGCAACTGAAGACTTCCTTGTGGAATGTGCTCTTACAGGACAGACCGTTAGTGTGGGATTTTCCTCGAACGCGATCCGACCCAACATGCCAACCGGAAACGCTTTCAATTCAAAGGCCTTCTTGAGAGGCCGAAACGTGGCAGGGCCCGCCAACTTGGGAAAATAGCAGCCGTGAAGCAGGAATTTTCCAAGCGCAGCTAGTAAAGCCACCCCGCCGGCTCCAAATGTCCCAATGTAGGTACTATCTGTAGACATTAATTGGGACCTAATGTGAATATTGCTTATAAACCTGAAGCCCTAACCCCAATATATACCCTATTATAATAGAGTACTTTCCATCTTCTTTTCCACTGCCATTATTCCTGAACTGTAAATTACACCCTTATTACTATTATGCCAGGGCACTGTTGGCGCCACCGCATTTCTAGCGCGGTCAATGTTGTACCAGCGGCTTCCGTGGTGAGGCAAGGAGATCCGCAGGATTCAGATTCAGGATGCCTTAGGGTTTGGGATTGGTTTAGTTTAGGGTTTAATGACTAGGGAGTTTGCCCCTTCATGAAGGAAGATACCTTTAATCGTACTAGGATCCCTAATATGGCCTAAGCTAGTATATTATGCCGATGTTCTTTAATTAGGGGATTGGTCTCCCTGAGTAATTTCAGCCCCCAGGCTTGAATAATGTCGAGGGGCCCATGAAGCATGGATTCCCCCGCCTGAAGCATATCACAAATTCAATTCAAGCAACCAATACCCTCCCTGAACCCAAAGCCCCAAACTTAGTGGTTCTTAGTTCTTAGTAGGCAACAAGGGAATCTATTCTATAGAGATTACATAAGGAATATGTTCCCCCATTCCCTACTAAGAACCAGCAAGAAAACCTGAGCCCTAATTAAACCCTAAACTTTAAACCCTCAATCCCTGAAACCCTGAGCCCCTGCACCCTGAGGTCGAGCCCTTAATCCCAACATACTGAAACCCTCACACCGAATTTAGGGTTGAGGGTTTAGGGTTCCAGGGTTTTAG